TTGCACGCTGTGGACAAAGGCAGAAGGATGAGTACAAAAGCATGGGTAAGGTAAAGCATAAGGTAAACAAAAATACATTACCCGGGGGCAGTTTTGAAAGCCGGCATGTTAGATTGCATAGACTCGCCGGAGGAAGGAGAGGTATCCTGATAATTGGAGTCAGATGAATTGAGAGGTTGGCGAATTAAACCCGCCAAAGGTAAAACAGAATGTAAATCAGAGATAACCTCAGTCCGACACTTCATGGTTACGTCAGGTAAGCCGAAGGAGAGCTCTACATCCTTGCTGGTCCGGGTCTGCCTCCGGCTTTCAAACTGTTGTTACTTCAAAAGAAATTGAGGATCTTGATAAGCTAGAGGATGTGAAAATCTTACTTTCCGGGTCACCCTTCAGATTTTTTGCTTTGGCAAAGGCTCTGAGTCGGAGGAGATTATAGTTACCTCTTCGTCAATCGCTTGGTTGTTTCCTGTATCCTCCTGAAAGGATAGAATGTCAATAAAATAATGACAAAAGAGTTAGGAGAGTTAAGGATTACCTCTTCTTCATCATCAGAAGTGTCGTCCAATTTGAATAAATCTGAAGCGCTTGGCTTCTTTTTCCTTGAAGTTCCTGTTTTGGCGGCTTTTCTTTCGGTTCTCTTGGCTGCTCTGGCTTGTTTGGCAGCTTCATGGTCATACTTGACCTTCCAGAAGTTGTCATCGGCCTATGAAAAAAGATAAGGGGTTATGTGTAAAAGCAAGGTGTAATATAGTAAAAAGTATTCATTGAGGTTGATGACTCACTGCGGGGGCCGGGTTCTTCTTGCAGAAAGGAAGTAAGCCAAAGGCATTGCTGATCACCGTGCCCTCTTTCAACAACGTTTGGGTCGTGGCCTCCACCACATCCTCTGGTAAGTCAACGGGGCTATGACACAATGGGTCATCCTTCTCGCCAGAGTAAGTGCACATTAAGCCGGGGCGGCGACTTAACGGAAGCACTCGCCAAGTAACCTAGACTCGGACCAGGTCAATGCCGTCCAAGCCATTTCCCAAAAGAGCTTTGATTTTTCTAATGGTGGGAGCAAGTGGCAGACGTTCAACAGCAGTCAGTTTATCCGGCAGCAGGTGGTTGGATTCAAGGCGCAGGGCACGGAAGCTGGGCAGAGGATTTTCCTCAGCCGAAGAAGTGTCCTGGCAATAGAACCACGTCTGATTCCAATCCTTTGGGTGACTCGGCAGTTCAGCATAAGGAAAGAGGCAGTCTCTCCGCCGTTGAATCGAGATGCCACCAAGTTCAAGACTGGGCCCGTTGGCACGTTCATTCTCCCGGTTTAAATAGAATAGCTCTCTAAATAAAAGTATACTGGGCTCTTCTCCAAGGTACACCTCGCAGAAGACTTGGAAGTTGCAAATGTTTGAAACGGAATTAGGTCCGATGTCTTGAGGTCTGAGGTCAAAGAAATGCAAAACATCCCTGAAGAGTTTTGAACCGGGTGGAGCGAAGCCCCGGTTCATGTGATTAGTAAACACGATCACCTCCCCCTCTTTAGGTTGAGGCTTCTCCTCTGACGGGTTAGGAGCACGATAATACATGACCTCCTTCTTCTTGGGTAGATGGCCGGACTTCACAAAATCAGACAGAGTGCTCTCTGTAACAGTGGATTTGACCCAGTTGCAGGTCACAGGAGCTTTGGGAGCCTTGGGTGCCATTACGTAAATTGAAGCCTATGACAAAATAAGAGGTTCCGGTTCAAATTTAACCTGGAGGAAAACATTTTAAGTCTATTCAAGATGGCGGCTTAAGAAGGGGCCTAATGATATATGGGTAACTATGCAGTGATATTTAAGCCGCTACAGGTATCAAGGGCAGTTAAATTTTCTTAAGTCACGAGAAGCAAGCAAGGTTGACAAATCAGTGTCATTTATCTAAACCGGCCACATGGATAGTCGTGGTTAAACAAATTCGACAGAGGCAGTTTTTTTATTTAAGGGTGGAACAAACAGGTTTCACAAGTTGCGGCTATTATTTTGGATCAAACGGCTGTTCTGAAAAGAAAAATTTCTAGACCTAGGACTGGCACAAATGAAGCTCAAGGGCTCGAACGGGGCCTCTGTGCGATGGAAAGGGATCTATTTGCATTCGAAATGGGTGCGAAATAGCTACCGCATCAGTTTTATACCATCTTAAAGATCAAGAAACGGCGGTGGTGATGAAATCTATAAGGGGTTCCTGACGAACAATGAAGAACACCGAGGAACTCGAAGGTCCTAATGCGGATCTGAGGAACAAGAAGGAGGAAACTTACAGATGCAGAGTTGCTGCAGAGGTTTGTCGCGTTTTTCTGGTCAAATCAGGTTGATGCAGCGGCCTGAGTTGGCGAGGACGAGGAGATCTGCGACGGCGGAGCTCGAGCGGCAGAGAGACAGCGAGAGGAAGAAAACGAATGACTGAGGGAGAAAATGAAGAAGACCTAGGTCGAGCCTATTTATAGGGAAGGGCCGACCGGGACGGTGCGAGAAACGAGGAGATTGGATATTATTATCCAGCGACCCCGACGCCTCGGGTTTCGGGACAATCAGTAAAGGCAAAGATCCGTTGAAGATATAGCAGGATAAAATAAGGATTTAATTGGAGATGACGTCACGGCGGGTTAACGTGGATCCAGAAGATGACGTCATGGCGCGTTAAACCCTTTTGCACAGATAGAAGACTAAAGGCTTATTTCTTAAGGTATTTTAAGATTGACATGAACCGGTTCAAATCAATCTGGGGCCTAATGTTGGGGATATAACTATTTGTGTAAGCCGCCCTGGAGGGGTCGGGTTATGTAAAGAAGACTCATCAGAAAGAAGCCCAAGACCAAGCATGAAGATGGCGGTTCAATAAAGGGTCTAAGGCTCACAAGCGGCTAAGGCCCATAGTGGTAAACCGTCGTGATGATATGACTTGTAACATAAGGTAGACTTAACTAGTCACCGGGCCGGACACTGTCTATGAGCCGGCCGGGACTCTGTAGGCCGCACGGCGTCCACCCGTGTATATAAGGGGATGACCCGCTGGTGGCTTAGGGTAAGAAACAACTCATCGAGAACCAGGCATAGCGGATCTCGCTCCCTGGTCATTGAAACATCAAGCAATACCAACCCAACTAGACGTAGGCCTTACCTTCACCGTAAGGGGCCGAACTAGTATAACTCTCTCGTGTTCTTTGTCCCAATTAACCTCTTCAAGCTTCCTAGTTGCGATGGCCCTATGATCAAGTCCTTGCAAGAGGACATCTGCCGTGACAAATCCACGACACTTACAGAGTCCACCTCACGCCACTTGTTGTTGCCTTTGGGGTGGCAAACCGCTTGGACTCCTCCAGCCCCTCGTTGAGGACCTGGTGGCTGTTGATTTGACTACGATAGTCCTTCCAGTGGTGGAAGGTACGCCAACCATTACACAACCATGATCAGTCATTGTTGCGTGCTCATGGCGCAACCACTTGGCCACCTCTACCTAGCGGCAACAGTTGGTTACAGAGTCGACCTCGCACCACCCGTTGTTGCCTTTGGGGTGGCAAACCGCTTGGACTCCTCCAGCCCCTCTTTGAGGACCTGGTGGCCGCTGATTTGACTACGACAGTTGGTGGAGATCTCCACGGTGGTCCCAGACTGATCAATGGTGTAGACCACCGAGAGTGAGGGGTTCTCCAGGACCCAGAGCGGCATGACTTTCAACCCCATGAACGATGAACGACACTGCATGTTGGGCTGCCTTAGAGGCTGCCTCAGAGGCCACTATCATTCTGGAGGAGTCGCCGCTGCCACATCGAGGTAGTAGGTGAGGCAGTTGCGCTCCTTGGAGATCGCCAGGAAGGGAGATTCCTGCTTCACAACGATGGGGCAAGACTGGCTCCCGGACTCAGGGAGGGTGACTCCTCCTTCTTGAAGGCAATCGGGCACCATTGGCTCTCGGGCTGCTAAAGAGGCGAGAACAATAGCCACCTCCTTGTTGTGGCAGAGACGACAGTGTGGCAGGGATGATAGCTCCTCTCTCACATGCGGGAATGGCAGGGATGGCGGCGTTTAACCGCGGTTGTAATGTGACCACTCCAGCACAAGCTCCATCTGCCATGCAAATTGCTCATTCGTCGCGGCGGCCTCCGTGAGGATGGGCAGCTACTCTTGCTCCTAGTAGTCCGATTATATGGGATCTAATTTCACCTGCGAGGGAGCAGTCGATGCAGATGGTCCCGGAAAACACGGTCGGCGATGCTATGAGATGAAGCACCCCCACCGTTGAGGTCGTGAAGAACCACTTCGAGACGCCGCCTGGCCCATCGGAGCGGATTTTGGGAGAGGATAAGAGAAGATAGGCGATGGTGTAGGGTTTGCATCCGCGGCTAGATGACTTAAATAATAGACAGGGACTGGGGTAGACGGGTCAGCTCTGTATCAATGTGTATAGGGAAATATCATGTCGTCTCGTTCGACTCCGCCACATCCGCTCTGATCAGCGTGAATGCAGCGTGGAGACTGGAGCAAGAGTTTTGTATGTGGGCCCACGTTTTCGGAGGCGTACGTGGTGGAGGTCAGAACGGCAGCAAACTTTCCCTACATTTGGTTCCAGCGTGTGGATTTCGTTCATCCGCACAAAATTGATGCCAGCGTTGTATGGCAAAAAAGTCTGAACTGTCCAATGCAGATATCTAGGGGACATTTGTTGAACCGCCTTGGGGATGCTGATTTTTGCCTAAGCATCAATGCTTATTTGTAAAAAAATAAATGCTTAATTAGACACCTCGATATGGAGATAAGCACATGATACTTGAGAAAAATTGGCTCATTTTATTATGCACCTTACATTGTACAAGTTCAACTTCTCAAAGTCAGGATCAAAGACCATGAATCAATCCATCCCACAAACCAATCCAATGCAACCATATAATATATCTCTAATCACGAGTAATGCTTAGACCTATGTACGCATCCTTTTGCCTTTGGCTTTACTTCTTGTTCCGCTCCAGTCAGCTCCGGTCAGTTCATGTTGAGCATTCCTTGGTGGAAGGCGGCGACACGGTCTGTTGACATCAGATTTTGGCACAGTGTAAAAGAAGATGAGATGGCTTCGAGTGAAAGGGTTTTCAGCATGAAAAGTTTCACATCACCGAGTGGAACAACTTTGATGTTTAGGTTATCATCGTCCGACTCCATCTTAGGGGCCGAAATTGTATTCCGAGTGACAGAATTCAATATTCCGAGTGGTTTTCGGCCGATCGTGCCTTCAAGACGACCTCGGATGAAGGAGTATTCTAAGGGAATTGTCTTCGTCTCGTCGAGGCAATCAATTCTGATATATAAATCATCTCAATCCGAGTTCATATGCAAAAGTTAGAGGCAATACACTGCAGACCGAAGCAGAATGGAAATATGGCGCGAAGTACCAGACACCCTGTCTGATGGGTTGCGCGAGCAATTCGGACCTTAAGAAATCCTTGAATTGGAAAAACTTCAACATGAGAAAGTTTCGTCTCGTCGAGCCGATCGATTTTCATATATAATTCGTCTCAATCCGAAGTCGTATGAGACCTGGGGAGACAAATCAAGATCAGGTTATGTTTTTGGTCGAGTGAAAACCTACCGATCGAGTAAAAGGTCAAGTGAAAACTTACCGATCGAGTAAAAGGTCGAGTGAAAACCTACCAATCGAGCAAAAGGTCGAGTGAAACCCTACCGATCGAGTAAAAGTTCGTGAAAACCTACCGATCGAGTAAAAGGTCGAGTGAAAACCTAACGATCGAGTAAAAGGTCGAGTGAAAACTTATCGATCGAGTAAAAGTTTGTCTTCCGAGTGAAAATATAGTCATCCGAGTGAAAGATTGTTTTCCGAGTGAAAAGGTCGAGTCGGATGGTCCGAGTGGAAGTCTCTAATATCCGAGTGGATGAGCTCGGATCCGAGTGAAACTGAACATGTGCCCGAAAGTTTATCAAGATGACCTCGGATGAAGAAGTGTTCAATACAGAAGTTGTGCGTATCGTCAAGACGGTAAACTTTGGTTTGGAGTCATCATCATCAGAGATAGTATATGGCCTGCAAATTCACTACAAGACTCGGATAATTCAGTCTACTACAAGACCGAGTCCGACTGGAAGGTAAAGACGACCTTGAAAAGTATTCAAGATGGCCTTATTTGAAAAAGTGATCAACATGAGAGTTGTTCGTATCGTCGAGGCGCACAAGTTTGATATTTGGGCCATCTCGATCGGAGGTCATATGGAGGCTCGGCGGCCTGCACAAGGAGAAAGACAGAAGTTGGGCCAGATTCAGACTGAATCCGAGTTGGAATAGAACTAGGACTCTAGGACGCGAATTGATGTAATTTTTCTTGTAAGGAAAGCCTAGATGAATCCTTTACTTGTACGGGAACTCTAGCCGCCTCTTATATATGTTAGGGGTGACGGCCGATTGAACACACACAATCAAACAAATCAATATACTACTTTTCCTGTCTACGTTTTATCTCTTCATCGTTTTTCTCTCTCGTTCTTCGCTGTTCTTCGTGTTTGAGAGCTGCGAATCCCGAGGCTCTAGGGGCGAGCGAATCGACCTAGGGCAGCCCTGTCACGTCCCTAGCCTTGCTATGCACTTGGACTAGCTTGTTGCTGCATCATGTTTAAAATTTCATTTAAACCTGAAATGGGGGCTGATAAACCCTAGCAGCTAATGAATTCAACTAGGGTCAAAATAAAATCTTTTTCAATGAACCTGAAATGCCCTTCTAAAATGTTCATCATTTTTGCCATGGGTTAGAACCTCTGACAAAAATGGTGCACACTTTTCTAGGACATCATAAGGTCACTGAATTAAATCATATAGTATTTGCATTTGGGCATTTAAATTCTATAAAATATTTTAAATGTCCAAATACTCCTAAACTGAAATGTTCCATGTTGGATATATTCCAAACAGTGGCCATGAGCAGTTTGGTGATTTTTGAGTGCGCCTTAGTATTTTTAAATAAAGCCCTAAATTTTACAGAAAATAGAAAACAGGAAATAAAACGGAGCAACCTTACCTGGACTTACCTTGAGGCCCACCAGGGATACCAGTCCACCTGCGCGGCCCGTTACTGTGCAGCCCAGCTGCCAGTCATCTTCCTCCCCCTCGCCCCGAAGCAGCTGCGTGCTGGACGCACGCGCGTCGACACCGGCCACCTCCTGCTTCGCGCTGGAGGCCTCTCCTTCGTCCTAATCTGCCTCTCGTGATGCCACGCAACCCTCTCGACCCTCTCTCACTCTCCCTCGACCTCGTCCCCTCCTTTGCCCCGCTCCTCTCTCCACCGAACGGAGCCGTCGCCACCGTCGCTGTTCGTCGTGGCCACCGACCTCCCCACGCCAAGCCAGCTAGCCCACGAGCACCGCCTCGCTGCGGCGCACCTCTACGCCCAGTCCCACGAGCCCGGACGCCTTGAAGAGACGCCTTCAAGCTCGTCTCCTACCTCGGACTCGCCGGTCGCCGTCGCCCGATTCGTTGAACTCCGGTCGCCTCCGAGCTCGCTGACCACCTCTTCCTCTCCACTGTGAGATTCTACGCCTCCCCTCTCTCTCCCCGTGCTCGATTTCACTGCGTAGCGGTCGCCTCTGTCGATGTTTAGCTTGTTACCTCAGCTACGATCTTGTGCCCTCGGCAAGATCTGGTAGATAGTCAGGCTTCTCAGCCTTTTTCATTTGTAGATGTCTGTACTCAGACATGTTAAGCTTCCGCATGTGCTTTGACTTGTATGCTCTGATTGTTGGGTCATGAGACCCATGATTGTAATATCTCGCTCCTCGGAGCCTATTGAATAAATACTTGAGTTGTAGAGTCATGTCGTGATGCCATGTTGTATTTGCACATATCGAGCATAGTGTGTGTATGTTATTGAAATGCTTGGTATGTGTGGGATCTGACTATTTAGTTGTTTATCCTTAGTAGCCTCTCTTACCGGGAAATGTCTCCTAGTGTTTCCACTGAGCCATGGTAGCTTGCTACTGCTCCGGAACACTTAGGCTGGCCGACATGTGTCCTTCTTCGTTCCTGTGTCTGTCCCCTCGGGGAAATGTCATGCGATGAATTCCGGAGTCCTGTTAGCCCGCTACAGCCCGGTTCACCGGAGTCCTGCTAGCCCAGTGCTACAGCCTGGATTCACTCGCTGATGACCGACACGTTCGATGTTGGGTCATGGATGCCTGTCCCTGTAGGTTTGTGCCACTTTGGGTTTACGACTAGCCATGTCAGCCCGGGCTCCTTATCATATGGATGCTAGCGACACTATCATATACGTGTGCCAAAAGACGCAAATAGTCCCGGGCAAAGGTAAGGCGACACCCGTGGGGATACCGTGCGTGAGGCCGCAAAGTGATATGAGGTGTTACATGCTAGATCGATGTGGCATTGAGTCGGAGTCCTGACAGCTTTGGTATCAGAGCTTGACTGCCTGTAGGATTACCAAGCCAAACTGGTCGAAGTTGAGTCTAGAAATTCTTTAGTTATATGTAGGGGAATTGATTGTGGGATGGAACGTAAGACTCTTTTTACTCCTTATACCTTATGCCTTCTGATCTGAGTCACCTTATCTTTCCTACGGGGTTAAGGAATTAGGCTTTCTCTTCTTTCTATCAGGATCACGTGTTACTAATCCATAGACTTATAGGATTGATAGATTTAAGCTTCAGTTCAGTTCCTACTACTTCTATATGTTAACTGTTGATCTCGAAACCTTGATATTGTGCTCCTGAGTGGCTATGCCACCCTTTTTGTAGCATGTCTCCAATCTTTCGAGCATTTACAGCCGTTATGTTGTCTGAGTCATCCCAGGTTTCTAAACAATCTGATGCATTTGCAAAATCCTTTCCCTCTGGTTTCGATGTTCCTTTAGGCCAAGTTAATCACACTAATTGTTGAGTTGAGGTATTCTATTGCCTCGACATATGTGTTGGAATTATTATTATAACCCTAGGTGTCTTAGGGGATCACCTAGTACCCTAGCCATGCCTGTGTTCCCAGTGTGATGATTTTGGCCTTTATTCTCGAAAGCATCCCGTGATGCCACTTAGTAGTAGGTATTCTACTCCTGGGTTTCTGAACCCGAGATTTCCCTACTTACTTCATGTTTTTAGTGTTGCTAGTTCCCTTAGGTTATTAGTAACCTTGCGATAGTTCTCGAGGTTCGTGGTATATTGCTCTTCTAAATACCATGAACTTCTTATGGCAGAAGTTCCTCGCTGATCGAAAGATCACAAATCAGAGTGCTCCTGATGAGTTCTCGATTCTATATTGTGACTCTGCCAGTTCAACCTTTCTGCATGGGTCATCCAGAAGAAACCTGTTGAACTTGGTTCGACATTCTAATCCATGCGTCCACAACTCAGAAAATCGTATGTTCTTTTGAGTTGCCCCCCCTTAGTCGTCTTCTAACCCTCGTCTATCAATTGATAGTCAAGGGTATGCGTGCATTCGTTCATCAATGCCTATTACCCTTGTGGTTCGTCAAGCCATTCTATCCGGAATGACTTGGAGAAACAAACTCCAGTACCTTATCCATTTCCAGGATTGGGTCAAAGCAGTTGTACTCTGCAGATCAAGTTGCTAATCCAGTTTTTGTTCTGTTCCACCCTGGAGTGTTACCATCTTTATATTAAGATTATCATGGGAATTGCACACCATCCTATGAATTCTTGATTTAGTGATACTCTCGCCATCATTATTCATTCCTCGGTTTCGTGTTGTCGCAACCGGAATGCCGACAAGTGAACTATGATGTGTGAAGTCAATACCCCTAGCAACCATGTTGCATGGTAGTTAATGGACAATAATTTCATTCTTAGCGTGTTGATTATTGAATCATCATTCTAAGGTAGATCGTGCTACCTAGTCCTTATTTCCGGTGCACCTTTCGATCAATGAGTTGGGGCTATGCCAATCCCTCGCTCTTTTGATCATATCATCTTGCCCTGAAAAGCAAGATTGTTCTCGAGCTTAGTAACATATCGGTAGTTCGTGATTTTCCAAATATCTTCTCGGAAGTATCACCAGGTCG